TAAAGCTAAATTGAATTTTAGATCCAAAGCTGTGAGAACTGCTTGGGTGAAAATCTTAATTAATTACTATAATCGATTAATCGGGAGTTTTGTTACTCAACCGGAGGCATATATTCCTCGCCGCGGCTTTATTCAGTAGCCCACAAGTGCGATTAGCACTACTAAATCAAGACAATTGTGTCACGGTAGTGATGCTTAAAGACCTTTACTTCAACAGAAATTTCGGGATTGTAAATTTTCTCCATTCTTCTAGCACTTTAGACGATAGAATTAAGGATTTCTGATAGAAGCATTCAACTCTTAATATTGAAACAAACTATAAGTTCATTTTTAATTTTCATTCAGACTGTTTTAAAATTACACAAACTTAATTACTTTTTTTCTGAATAATATATAATAATGCATACAGTTAAAGAGAATTTCTATTTTCAGTAATTCGGAATTATCGATACGAATAATTTCAATTAAATTATTGCCACGCTCTTTTGACAGAAGGAATGTTGGTTGCGAAATCTTGAAAGATGAATTATGTAATCTTGAGCAAGACTATCGATGTAGTAGCCTTAAAAATGTTAAAATCAGATTGACAATAATTGTTGCGAAATGGAAAAAGAGGTTTATTAACCCTCACTCTACACTCGCTGACAATTGTGGATTAATGAACTAGGAATGAAATTCAAATACTAATTAAAAAAAGTTAATTGTAAGAGGAGTCACCTTTTTAAATATATCGAAAGAAAATTCTGCAATCGAGGAATGTCACAACAGTACAATGATCGTTGATGACTCTTCAAAATATGACTCTAAAAATTAAAAGGTAACGCCCACAATTCGCAGTCTTGGGTTAGCGGAAATCTACGCGCTGAATTATTTTAGTTAGAATAACATCGATCCAATTGTCTTACAACTGGGTAACAGATACCAAATATGGTCATCAACTTTTTGTCACCCTCCTATAGGGTCACTCACCAGCCTAATAAAGGGACTAAGCACATTCGCCCAAATTAATTCAATAAGAAAAAACTGACCCCGAAAGCAGTAAAAGTGGATGGCATTAACATTTTGTTCCGTTGTAAAGAACTGTATAAATGGTGCCACACTCAACAAATTCACCATTCCAGAAGTTACCACCAAATCAACTGCCTGTATTCTTTGAGTTAGTCCAGAAACCACCGTCTAATCAGATATCTGTGTTCTTCGAGTCAGTCCAGCAACCGCCACAAAGTTAACTAGTTGTGTACTGTCATCAAGTTTCTTCTCTGACTTCAGTCCAGAAAACCTTTTCAAGTACCAAGTGCCTTCTTCGAGTCTCGTCTTAGTCAAATTCATTCAAGGAGATAACTTCTACCACGAGGCACATTGCTGTTTTTCTAAGGACTGCATTACCACGACATCAACATCAAATAAATAATTCGGTCACTACAAAGCTGAGGAATGTTCAATCTAATTTGCATTGATACCCTTTAGACCTCGCACCTTCCACTTTGCCCTTATCCGAAAGCAATTTGAGGAAAATCTACTGCATTCTCTGTTTCTAGTGATACATGACCTCACACTGAAGGATGTATCGCCTGCTGGTTCCACGACTCTAACAATAAATCTAAAAGGTAAATAACTAATACTTTAAATTTTGTCTCCATTTCAATTCTCGATTGATTCCACAAAGTTCTAATTTTGTTTCAGTGTGCCTGAAGAAATCTGGATCTACTCTTTCTCTCTCATTCTAATTGTAAAGGATTCAAATAAAAACGTTAATAATTTAATTTCAATTTTAACAGTTCCTCTTTCTTAAACAAGTCTCTTAAGATCAAAGCCTTCCGCTCTGTGAATCGTATGAATCACCGATGCCGGACAATTTAAATATTTATAATTTAGGGTATGTTTAATTTCCTTCTGAAACAAAACAGTTAAAGTTAACAGTCTAAAAGTTAATAATAATCTTTCTGGTTTGTAACAAAATTGTTTTATTATTATACTGTATTAGGTGTTAATTAATGAGCAGAGTATTCAGTTTTCAACCTCATAATGTTTCTCTCATTGCACTACATAGAGAATCGATAACTCACACGTCAAAAAGTCTATCAACTGTCTGTGTGTCAATCGCAGAGATAATCTAAACGCAGCTCTGTGTAAACTATAACTGCAAACTAATTTAATTATAAATACAAATTTAATTATGGTTTGATTATTCATAGACAATAGCTACATTAATTAGTATAGAAACTTGTTACATGAATATTAATGTCAATTATCAAATTAAATGCAAATATTCTAATTTATAAAAATTAAGACCCCATAAACTGCTTTTCTTTTCATTGAAGGTTCGTAGTGTCATTTCTTCTTTAATTCTAAATACACTATGAATTTTACATCTAGTGTGAGAAATTTAGTTCCATCACATGATTAATAATCAAACGTTCATACTTTTAAATTTATTAAGAAATAGAAGATAGGCTCAATATAAGCTTCGTTTATAGAGATCAATTACGAAATGCCAGCAAACATAGTCCAAATTCTTTTTTCACCCTCTTTCGTATCAGTCAAGATTGTTATATAAAATAGGGGGAGATTGACAGTCATCTCTTGTTTGCGTCAGCGAGAAAATAAAATAATACAGCTCTCTATAAGCTGGGGGAAGAATATGTGTCAGCCGCTTTTCTGAGTCAGTCAGTTCGCTATATTTACTTTTCAACTATAATATTAAGATACATTGGTAAATATCAACATGAATTGTGAACAACAACCATTATTTATAACATCTGCAGAAAAGTTTTTGTTCTAAAAAATGTTTATTAGAATTTGTTGAAATATATTTTATTAAACTTTTGCCATATTTTATTTTGAGAAAACATCTGCTTCGTTTATAGGAATTCAATTTTGATGTTTAACTTCCTACAGAATGAATTAACTTTCCATAAAGTCATTAGACAGTTATAGTAAGAAATTAGATTAGATAGTATAAATAATTTATTAGATGAAGTTTGTTAATAACAACATGTTTTTTTGGAAACTACGAATTATTTAGTAGGCTAAACTGATAAAGAAATTCAGGAATAAGTACTTTACTTTTATTAAGTAAAACAGGTAGAAATAGAGATTCAAACAAACTTCTGAAATTCAGATGGTGAATTGCCGATCGACTTCTGAATATAAACATATATACTTTGAGGTTTGCCTAATTCATTAGTTGAGTAAATTCGGCTTCTCTAACTTTCTTGAAAAGCCCTCAATTTCTCCCGTTCTAATTTTCTTCGCATTTTCTCTAAATCTCAATTTCAATTAAACTACATGCATTTCCCTGATGATGGAAAATTAAAAAAATATTTAAGAACAGAAATAAAATATATCAAGGGTAATAAAAATTGTGGAAGAAAGTGGGAAAGTGTTCAAAAGAAAAATTCGAGGAACAAGGAGCTGCTAATTCGACAAACGCTTCCGGCTTAGAAATGGAAAAAGAATTTTACCGAACTATTTTATCTGCTTCAGACACATAAAGGCTGACTCAGCTATAAAAAGCACGGAAGTAGTTTGACTCGTGAAAAACAGAAAGACCCACAGAATGGGAGGCTATTAAATTTACTTCCATAATTCAGGGTCAACTGTATATTTTGGAATAGTTTTTAATTTAGGGGTACGATAAAAAGTTTTTAGACATTAATCAATATATTTTGATAAAAAAATTATCAAATCTGGCAAATTTATATTGTAATCAAAAACATAGACAATCACTATAGCTAAAGGCAATACTGTAAAAAAAACCTGTTTTTCTAAATTCAAAATGGCGGATCCAATATGGCGGACGCCATATTCGGGGGTTTTCGGGGTCACTGATTACGAATCCAATGTCAGTTTTTCAAAATTAAAAATGGCGGATCCAATATGGCCGATGCCAAAGATATATATATATCTAAAAAATATTTATTACTAGAAAAAACGTAATAAAAGTGAATTATTTATGAGAATAATTCTTTTGATTACTATGTGGACAAAAAATTGTTTGTACGGTCGGTTCACTTCACTCTCCATAAATAAAAAAAATAACAAAAATAGGTATTTTAATCAATATTTTAAAAAATTGAGTAATTGGACTAACTGAAAGTTAAATAATTCTGTATGGTCTTCTATAAATATTAGCTAACTTGACCTAGACTATTTACCGGATAAATGGTAATATAACACAGTAAACCTCGAGGGATATTCGGCGTTCTTCGGGATAAATTTAGTGTACTTTATTCATGGAGCATAAATCATCATCATCTTTTGGAATATGTACTTAAATTTTGCCAAATTAGATAGTAAATTATGAAAATTAAACCTATTACAATGTAAAATTTTACCAAATTGGCTACTAAATTATAAACAATTAAATCATAAAACAATGATTATAAAACCATTTTACTAATTTAAATAACGATCAATTTAATATGGTTTTCTTTCGTTGTATGAGAAATACATTCCATTGGCATCAAAGACGTAAAAGTGTTTCGAAATAAAAACCGAAACTGCGAAGAGAGAATTATTTCAAATATTTTTTAATTTTTAGAGAGAATTATTAACTTCGTTCCTCTAGATTTTCAAACATTCAATTTCTACACTAATAACTACAATTTTCAAGCATCGAGAATAAAATTTTCTTCAAAAACTATGATATCGTCTGATAGTAAAATAAAAAATTTATATTGAAATCAAATTAGTGATTTATAAGACGTTAATTTATAATAGTCAAACTGTCGTATGAGTAAATAAAATATTTCATTACTTGTTGATTTTAATAATTCCATAAATATAAATCAACATAATTTTCCAATTACATAAAAAAAATTTGTTTTTTAACAATTAAAATGATTATTATAAAAATAGATAATTTTTTTCTAATTGCCTGATAAATGTGACATATGTAAATTATTGTAGGTACTATAAAATTTATTGTGTTTACTTAACATATATAAAAGAATAGAAATTCAAATTTATCAATTTTCATAAAATCTATATTTGACTCTGATTATATATATATTTTTTTTTCTTTAGCAACACCTATCTTGCTTTAAAATTTGAAATTGGTCGTTGAACTGATTTAATTTGATTCACAATGAAAATAATAATTTTCTCGATTTTTATTCTTTGCGCACTTAATGTAAGTAAAAAAAAAAGATTTAAAATTTTGAATTTTAATTAAAAATTTTTAATTATTGAAAATTATTGCAAAATATTGTATATTTACATTATTTGTTAATTTAATAGCCCTTGGAAAAAATTAAAAATTGTAAATATTCATTTATCAAAATATTCTAGGAATATTTCAATGGCATTATGAAAAATATTTTTACAATTAATTTTATTATTATATACAGACATTTCAGTAAAAAATGTAAAAATAATTTTTTTTAAATATTTAATTCTTATTTGCTGTTCTAAATATTTTTGAATTAATGTGTTGCAGATAAAATTTGGTGATTCGCAATATAACATAAATTTAAACAATGGTTACAATGTAACTGATTTAAATAGTGATATTCAATTAATAAAAAAATCTCTAATTAAATACAAAGAAAAAACACACTCGCAATTAAAAATGTTTCACAGAATGAAAGAAAATGAAATTGAAACTTATTTTACACATCGGATTGAAAGTTATTTAGAAAATAGTAAAGTAAGTACTGAACGTTATATTTTCGTAATTATCTATTTAAATATAAGAATACCAAGATTATTATAGTTATTATTAACATTTTAGGACAAAAGTTCTAAATCAAAAATTTCAAACTAAAAATTCCAATATTCAAAATGTTCAATTTAAAAAAGTTCTAGTATAAATAAGTCCTTATGTTGAAAATACCAAAATACACAAATGCCAACGTAATTTTTAATAAAAAATTTAATTAATTTTGAAAAAATCACTAAATAAAAAATATTACATAAATAATAAATTATTACTGATTGAATAGTACATGCTATTAATAATTAAATGATAAAAAATATTAATGAAATAGTAAATTTGTTTTAAAGACAGCCCTATAAAATCATTTAACTTTATTCATTGAATTATTTACATGAATTATATTTAATAATATTATTTTCACATAAATCACATTCTTGCCATTGGGAAAAATTATTTTTTTAAAATATCGTCATTTAATTTCGTTTAATTTGGAATTTAGAGGAATTATAAAATTTCAAGTGGATCAGCTGTTTTATTTGTCCGCCGCCATTTTGTTTCTCGTAATTCTTAGAAGTGACGGAATACAGCACGAAAAAGTTTCTATAATTGAAGTTTGAATTTGAAAAAAATGTTAGACCTTTTGGTATTTGGAAATAAAAATTAGACTCTTTGGATTTTTGAACAAAGAATTATTGAAACTTTTGGCTTTTGGTACAAAGAATTAATAAGAATTTTTGTTTTATGGAAAAAATTTTCTTTACAAACTTAATTAAAACTCAATTTTTTGCAATTATAAATATTAAGAAAATATATTAAATTAATTAAATAGAACAACTCGACGAGGACAATGTGTCTATCAAAATTCGTGACAAAATGGAAAGATGAAGTACAAAGGCATTTGCAGGAATTAGAAATCTGCGTCGAGAGTGTTATGACTTCATCATATATCATTCCCCTTGAGGATACTGATTTTCTTCTTTCAGTTGTAAGTTTACTTGCTTCTTTCTCTTAATTATTATTTTTATTAGATTATAATTACAGATTTTTATAAAAAAATTTCCATTACAGTTGGGTGGAAATTTTTCATCAAATATTGAGGCTATTGTAAAAGACTGTCAACATTGGTCATCCCAATCATCAAACAAAGTGTCAGTAGAAGATTGTTATACACTTAAATCACCTTTATTTCAAATGCTGTCGACTAGCTTTCTAAAAGTAACTATTCAGTTTAAAAAATTAGTTTTAAATTGTACTGTGAGAGCCATTTCAGACATTAAAAATTGTGATGCTTTAACTAAAGAATTATTGGAAACTCATTGGAGTTTTATTTATGAGGGTGTAGAAAAGTGTTTGTTTTAAATTAGTGAAATATTTAGTTTGATAAGTTTATAATTTTTGAAAAAAAAATATCGCGTCTGTACAAAGTTTAATGCTTAAATAAATAAAAATTTCCATAAAATGATTGACAAAACGATGTGTTAAATTATTCTATTTATTTAAGATACGTAAATAATATTCCTTTTTTTTCGAACTATATAAAGCCATTAATGATTAATGATTTACTCAATTTATCATTTTAATTTTGGTCATATATCATTTTTTACACAATGAAACTAAAATTCTGTATCATCTTTATTCTTTCTATTTTACCAGTAAGTAACATAATTAATCTGAACAATTAAAAAAATTTCATATAACAAATCTTAATAATAAAATCGAATTCTAATTTTGAAAAAAAATTTTTAGATGGATTATTTTAACCCATTAAGTCCCACGTAAAAATCAGTCGTTTTATTAAAAAAAAGTAACAAGTGGATTTATCGGCAAATTAAAAAAAAAGATATACCTGTTTTTTTGCTATAAATTCCAATTGTTTAACAATAATTGTTTAAACAAATTAATAAAGATTTAATAATTTTTGAAATAAGTTAACTCTATTCGATTCTATGTGAAAAATTAAGAAAGTTTTGTATGGGTCATATTTTTACCAAGTCTTATTTTGTTTATAAAATATTGTTATAAACAAATTATGCTGCATAAAGGGTGTTCCATCCCAAGCATAAACAAATGGATTTTAAGTAAAATTAACATTTGGATTCATCGGCAAATTGAAAAAAAAAGATATACCTATTTTTTTGTTTTTAATTTTCACTTATTTAACAACAATTCTTTAAACAAATTTATAAAAATTTATCTATTTTTAACAATTTATTATTTAATTTGTTTATAAAAATCTTATCCACACGAAACTTTCTTACTTTTTCACACAGAATCGATTTTATTAATTTGTTTAAACAATTGTTGTTAAACAATTAAAAACAAAAAGGCAGGTATAATTTGTTTATAACAATTTTATAAACAAAATACGACTTGGGGAAAAATATGTCGCATACTAAACTTTTTTAATTTTTCCCACAGAATTGATTGGCGTTAACAGTTTTTAAAAATTGCTAAATTTTTATTAATTTGTTTAAACAATTGTTGATAAACAATTGAAAATTAATAACAAAAAATATGTATATCTTTTTTTTTAATTTGCCAATGAATCCAATTGTTACTTTTTCAATAAAACAGCTGATGAATTTCGATGTTAAAATAATAATACCCAAAAATTTTTTGTAATTATAATTTTAATAAATTTGAATCGACTAAGATTAGATTAAATTAATATTTGATATATAACTGCGGCAATTTAGACATTTTTTGATTTATTAATTTCAAAGTTTTTCTTTAAAGGTACGGTTTGGTTTGTCAATTAATGAATTTAATAATGGATATAACATAACAGATTTAGCATCCGATATAGAATTGATAAAGAATTCTCTATATAAGTATAAGGAAAAGGTACATATCCAATTGGAGCTTTATTATAATCAGACGATGGAAAAATTTTCCAGTAATCAAGAAGGTCAAACTGAACGAGAGAAAGAAAATTATTACAAAGCATCAAGTATATTAAAAGATTGTATCAAAAAGGCCAACAATTCATTATTTCATATACCACTCGAAGATATTGATTATATAATCACAAATGTAGGTTGATTATTTTTTTTAATATTATTAATTAAAAATTTTAAATTAAATTAAAATTCGAAATATTAAATCAAAATTCTATTAAATGAATTAAAGGTAAAATTTTCAGTTTTCAATTATTTCAGGTCGGTGCAAATTTTTCAATTGATCAGAGCTTCTCAAAAGATTGTGAATTTTGGACAAAAGTCTTGTCAAATAGAATATCAATGAACGATTGTTACCAATTAAAATCGCCATTATTTCGAATGATTTATGAAAATTTTAACAAAATAGTAACTGATTTAAAAATATTAGTTTTAAAAAATTCAAAAAAAATTGTTAATGAAGTGAAAAATTGCGTAACAGTTGCCAAAAATTGGTTCTAAAAAGAAAGAACTTTATTAAGAAAAATGTATTATCAGAAATGTATCTGAAATTTAACAATTTTTTTTTTAATTATAGAAAGTGAATTTATCATTCGGCAGTTAAATATTAAGAAGATATTTTTTTATATTCTTATTTTTTTCCCCTGACGCACGTAATTTGTCAATGAATGTTTGCCTTATTTTATTGGCAATATCAAATTTTATTGCATTCTCGATATCATGCCATTTAGTTGCTTTCGTTGGCTTCTTGTGACTTTTTGCAGAGATAGCGTTCACAATAAAAGCGTGAATTCGCGCTGATGCGAATTCGAATACAACCTTTATTAAAAGACGCTCGCTATTCCATTGTTTTCTTATGTTTTGTCGTTTTCTGTTGTATTATCAACGATATTACCTTCTATAAAATGCATACGGTTAGCACATGAAATGTAATAGTAAAATAGAATATGATGAGATAAATGAAACAAAAAGTTTATTGTGTTAAAAATTTTGTGTCCAATCGAAATTTTTAATTATATTTTTCATTGCTTCTGTAGTTCATGAATACCAAATTTTTTTCCAGACAACAAACTTGTTATACTCTTTTACGAAATCATAACTTTTATCCATTTTGTATTTTACAACCAAATTTTACTTTACTATCCTAAAATTTACTAACGTAAGAGAAATATTTTAAAAATATTTCAAAAATACTATTTTGTAGCAAAATAAATGTTTAATTATAATTCTATTTATAAAAATAATTACATATTGTGTAAAAATTTCAAGGCTCGCAATTTTTCGTAAACCTGATGCAAAGGTACACTTTAACAAACCTCGTTTACTGGAAACTATTATATTGACAATAATTTTTTACCCTTGGGTAGAAATGAGCCAATTTTTGTGCATGCAGTTCAAATGTGTTTCCTTCTTGTTTCTTTATCGAGAATGGTCATAACAATGCAATTTTATGACGAGAGATTGTAAGTCCAGTGGCTTCAGTTACCGTGTATTTGCTCCATTTACAACAATGTTAGGAGTCACACCATTTGACACGTGCTTGCAATCTCATGAATTATTCCATGTATGTGTGCACATTTGGCGTTCATAGTGTTAACGATATTTGCTTTTGAGGTGAGAGTTATCAACAATGCTATCCATTAATGTGTTGTCTTCAAAATTCTATTGTCACAATTCAACACCTTTTTCTACATATTACTAATAATTAACATATGAGAATTTTAATATTCACAGAATTGATTTTCGTGGTAATAATAGAAATTATAATTTATTAACATATTCAATTCTATTTACTCACTTTATTAAACTTTAAACTTACAATACTATAGACGTGTCTGGCACAAAGAAATCTTCAATAACAAAAACCCCAGAGTTCCAGTCGAATTTCCAGTCGATTTTAAATTTTCATGGTCGCCATATTGGATCTGCTATTTTGAATTTTAGAAAACTAACCCCAGATTTGTATTCAGCGACTCAAAAACCATCGATTAACTATTTTCAAACGAATTAAGTCGATTTTTAATTTTCTTGTCCGCCATATTGGATACGCCATTTTGAATATTTAAAAAATAACCACAAATTCGTATTCAGCGACCATAAAAACCCCCCAAGTAACAAGTTTCAAGCGTTTTCAGTCGATTTTTAATTTTTATAACCGCCATATTGGATTCGCCATTTTGAATTTTTTAAAAATAACCACAGATTCGTACTCAGCCACCCTAAAAACCCCCGAGTACCAAGTTTCAAGCGAATACAGTCGATTTTTAATTTCCATGTCCGCCATATTGGATCCGCCATTTTGAATATATAAAAAATAACTACATAACATATTCAGATAGATGTACTGCTCCTTAGACTTGAAGTAACCGAAATAATTTATTCGATGACGGTGTTGGACTATGCCGCTTATTGAGGTTTTCGTCTCAGTAAAATAGATAGGTGACTTGATTAAGAAATTAACTTCTAGTATAAAACTTGACTTGTACTGTGACGAGACTCGAAGAAGACACTTGGTAATAGACTCGAAGAAGGCAACTAGCTGATTCGCTGGTGATTTCTGGACTGGCGAATACGGCAAGAGTGGCAGCTTTTATACAGTTCCTTACAAGTGGACAATATGATAATACCACCCACTTTAATTACTTTCAAGGTCAATTTTTTATTATTGATTTATTTTTTGGGGCATGGGCTTAGTTTCTGTAGTAGTCAGGTGAGTGTCTTTATAGAAGAATGACGAAATACTAGCTAATTACCATATTTGGTATCTGCTGTCCAAATGTAAGACTATTGGATCGATGTTGTGACCAGAGGTGCTTTCATAAATCTTTGTGTCTGAAAAAGGTGCCTGAAATTAATAATAAAATTATGTAACCCAATTATGAAAGTTATTTAAAAGAAGGAAGACATTTAAGATCAAGTTAGCCTTTTTGCATTTCTAATAGCTTCGTATCTAAGTTTAAATAATTGCCGTCACGTGCTGGATGTGGGGGATCCCCTGAACTGAAAGTACCCTATCTAGATATATATCATCTAAGGCTTTATATAGGTGGACGTCGACTTAACTAAGCGTGCCAATGCGGGGCTTCCTCGGCTTCACTTGCGTCTGATCCTATGTGTTTCGCACTCAGTCGTATGTCAAGGCACGCTACTTATTATTCTGCATAAAAAAATTTACTTATTAACACTTTTACTTTTAAAATTTATAATTTTGTCAAACTAATTCTTGCAATTGGAGGATATTGCATCAATTAATGAAATTTTGTTTAAAAATATAAATCAATTTGTTTTGAATATATGATAAATTCTCAAAGAAAATATCCATTGGTTCTTTGAATAAAAATATTTGAGTTTATAGAACGTCAGACCTTCGATGTCTAAAATATTCGGATGCGGGTTTCCTGTTAAAAGCAGCAACATCAACCAGAAGAATTCATTCCTATGGTCCTGCTTTAAAGGTGAAAATGACAACTCAAGAAAATAGTATTTCAAAGTAAAATCTAAATGTCAGAAAAACATGAAAAAGAACATTGGTAAATATTGGTCGTTAAATGAAGACCTCGTTACCCGCAAAATC